TATATATATATATATATCCCCTTTAGTACAGTGAAAATAAGAGGTCAGAAAATACCCCTCCTTTCCACTTGTAGCCAATAATCTTGAATTGAAAATATTCATTAATAATTTCAAAGCTTAATCACTGATTTTTCTTTTTTTAATTTTATCAAACCCATTGCAAATAGATGCAAGGACACTTTGCACAAGGATATTCTCCAACTCCCTAGAGATAAATCTCCATCAAAACATACAGACCATCCACACAGATTTTACCTTTACAGGTTGGTAAAGGTTTTCCCACACACAAACTAAATCTACTTAATAATATCTAACTACACTTCAACTGTACCAATGTTGATACCAAAAAATATACACTGATCATAACCTTTGGTAATCGTCGCCCCTAAATTAAAAAAGGTGGGCAAAAGAGAGAGAAAAATGTTAAAGAAACAATTTCGGGTGTCTACAAAAACAAAATTAACTAAACAATTCATGTGAGATTACATCTTTACGACAAAACTATTTTAGAAGAATGATACAAGTTAATGGGCTTGCTTACATACTAAAAAATTAATCAGCCATTACACGAGGCTGACGAAAAACTGACTTTTCCATCCTTTCTCTATCTCATTGATATCAAACTGGCACAAAAAATCTTCCTTTCACAACAGCTTCCCTTCATTTGTTTTGGTTGGGGTGTGAGGAGAGCAAATTAGTCAAATTACACGTTCACTCAGTTTTGGCAGTATTTGTTGATTCATAAGCAACATCGGCAGAAGAGGTGTCCATATCATTCAGACCTAATTCTTCATTTTGTTCCCATGATCTCTCATATTCCTCAACTGGGGAGATACCATGTTGACGAAATTTCCAAATCAGAAGAGTGCAAGACATGAATATATTGACATCACAAACTATGCAGTCAAGAATAGATAGCATGACAACAACACTAAACAATCAGAGTTATATTATAAATACAGTCATTAAACCCATCCATCACATGATTCCAATTATGTAGGTAACTCAGAGCACTGTAACACGAAAGGTTGAAACACATGCCACCAAAAAGGGAAAGAAATGTCACAAAATAAACTCATTCCTGTTTATTTCTTTGCATGGTAGTACACTGGATTCCCAACCGACTCCAATGGTTAAATTGAATCGGACATCTTAAGGCAGAAAAAAATATTTTAACAATAATGAGTACACAAGGAATGACCTGATTCGTAGTTATATGATTGACCATAGAAAGTTCAAACCACATCACTATACAAGCAAACTGCACAATACAATAACACTTAGTTTTTAATTTCAGTATACTTTACTCAGAAAACAGAACGTTATCATCTCAATAACAACTTGAACTGATGTGCAGATTGCCTTATCTTCATTCATAGAGATACTAGATTATCCAGTATATAGGATTGAAAAATCATCACAAACCTCTTTTTAATTTACATCTCAATTTCTGGATTATTGCATAATGATTTTTCTACTTCTCGTGTGTATGTAAAGAAAGAGATTGGCTAGAAACATCTCTTATCTTTAAGATGCTAAAGATTGGGATAGTAAATGAATGGAACTAATATATTATGGATGGAATATAGTGAAATTAAATGAGGTTCCTGGGCTTAAGGGGGACAAATCAGATATTCACAATTTCAATTTCGAACTCAGAAAACGTCAACTGCATCTGCACGAAATCTAACTTGATATCTGAGTTGAAAAACTTACATGCTAATTGATTGTCGTTTTTCAGATCATCAGTTGCAGGTGCTACAAAAGAATTGGCTAATGCATCATCAAGAATTAGCGTCCAAGCTTCTTCCAAACTAAGAAGCTGCACAAAATGAAAAGATGCAGGTTAGAAAAAAGGAGTCAAAAGACCTTGAACCTATATAGGTTTAAATAGGAAAACTCAAATCAAAGCCTTCAAATTCAAAGACAGGAAGACACTGATAGTATGACAACTTCAGTTCTATTAATCCATGACATTAGAGAAACATTCAACAAGTGATGTAGCCCAAAAGTTGCATGGAATATGATCACTGGTCATTGTAGCCCAGCAAGTAAGCCTCCTTGTTAGACTTTATTTGGTTAAAATACCCTGGACTCTTTCCTTTGTGTTATTCATTTCTTCTTTATTTATAGATAAAATTTCGATTGAGATGTAATGGAAACAGGTACACAAACAGTATATCCAACTAAAAGATAACAAAAAATACAAGACAAGACAACTTTAGAATACAAATTAATGTACAAAGCCTGTAGTTATCAATTGCTCCTCATTCCTCTTTTCCGAGCCTACCAAAAAAATTGTGTAAAGCATAGATAATAAACATTGCCATGTGAAGGTAATCCAATCAATAGAATTACAACATGGACCGATATAAAAGAAATTTAAACCAACTATAATATAAAGTCATGGGCTACCTTGTTTAGCCTTGCTTTAAAGTCTATCCACTTGCTTTTCCTATGTTCATCAAGACTATCTCCAAAAGTAAAGCCATGGACCCTCTCAAGGCCTGTACATGCAAATCACATCAAATTATATTTTACATTCTTGCAAAAATAAATCACACCACAGGATCAGGAACAACGTAAACATGATGAAAGGAGAACAATTTAAAATCCATCTTTCCAAAACAAATACATATTTTGCATTTAGAAAAGCTTATCAAATTTCAAACGTATTTGATGCAGATTATTTGGATGCTCAGGTGGCTGAAATGTAAATTATTTATTAAAAAGAGGAAAGTTTTATCATTTTGTTCAAATGAAGCTCAACAAAGAGTGGATACTACTATGTCCTTTACTTTTCACAAAGGCCACTCCTCCTAATTATCCTTTCTCAGTAAAATATTGCCTATATTATATAGTTTGAGAGATAGAGAGCAAGAAAGCAACTTACTTTCACTAATTTTTGTAATTAAACCTTCAACAGTTGTAACAATTCCTCCAAGGGTGCCACTTGCCAGCTCCAAGTCAAGTTCAGGAACTTTTACACTTGCAGTATCAGACTAATCAAACCAAACTACTCAGTCAATTGATATAAAATATATTTCTGGGTCTCAGATTGCAGAAAATAATGTCTAAATGTTCAGGCCTATATGGGTATCATCATGACATTTTTCATTGGTTATCTTTACTAGAAAGACCTGTACTGAGTATCATTTTAATATATCATTGAAAACAGAACATGTTGATGTTAACATTTCCAGGTCATCTTTTGATGAAATTATCAATTTGAGGCTTCTGATAACGCGCCAAATTGTGAATTTGATTCTCTAAAATGCTATAGTTCATCCAAGTGTGATGACAAAAACAAAATTCTAGAATAAAGCCAAAATAAAAGAGGAACTGGAAGAGTACACATGATTAGTTTTTTGTATTTCCTCAGTTTCTTCACACTTTCCACAAAAAGGCCTGGAAGCTTACATCTGAACTACATTAGAAGGCTATCACGTCAATAACCGAAGTCCAAAGTACCTTCTTTTCTAATGGGTTTTCTTTTACTAATAAAAATAAGAAAAACGATATGCTCACTAAATGCAAGGATAAACTAAATGATCCATTATTCATCACTAAATATATTAATTAACTGTAGGGTAAATATTAGTTAAGATCCAGGATAAAATTACAGACCTTTATTACATCACGGCTCAGGTCATTAACATTCTTCACATAAAGAGTAATTCTTTTTCCTTTTTCAGGAATTCGCCCACCAGGTTTCAACTGCAAGGTGAAGAGCAATATTTATTCCAGCCCTCAATAGAGAGAAATACACTCAAGAAATCAGCACATACCTCAGAGTTGCGGTAACCACAGGCATCACATGTGGATGCCATAACGATTACTTCTTGGAAGTAAGGAATATCTGTTTGTTGTTAAGCTCAACAAAGGGTGTAGAAGAACTACCAAGTAACAAGACATGTTGCTCATGCAAACTCTGCCAATAATATAGAATTTGGAATTGGCACTTGGCAAATTTTAAAAAAGCATGGCTCTGTTATCAAGCAAGCAAATGAATATTATCTACAGTCTTTACCCTATCAGCAATCAGAATACAAGCCAACCCTGTAGACAACTGTTTCGTTTAAATCTCAAACATCCAACATTGATGTTGAGTCTAGCTTGAATCTATAGCCAAGTTCGTTAAATTCAAAAACAGATTATTTTCAGGATTTTTAATCAAACAGATGGTTATCAAAAAATATTTTCTGCATACCAAAGGGGTGACTAAAGCTTCAAATTTCAACTGAAATACATCAAACATGGAATCAAAAAAGTAGATACAAAAAAAAAAAAGCCTTTACAGTTTATAATAACATGATAACATGATTTCATTTTTCCCTCAAATCCTTGTACTCTCTGCATATACATAATATGAATCATTTAACATAATCAATTTTTAAATTATAATTTCCATTGATGGTAAAATGACAGAAGCCTTTGACAGTATGAAAAATGGTAAAAGGATACTGGTGACAAACATTCGAGTCTCGCATTTAGTGGCACAGGCGCCACAAGAAGATGGAAAGGTCATCACCTGTCAAGAACAAGCAGCAATGTGAGACTGAATGAACAAACAAAAAAGACCAAAGCTCATTACATGATAATACACAGCTCGGCAATACATACCTCTTCTGGTGCAGTATACCGAAATAAGGATTCAGCAATTTCTGAACTATTACTCTGTGCAATGGCTCGATGACCAGCTGTTGCCCCTATTGACCCATGTGGTTCTCTCCTCACTTGATCAGTAGTCACGGCTTGTCCCACTTCTGGCGCTTCATGAGTTCCTTCAATCTGTGAGGATTCGACAAGGTATCCCAATGTTGCTTGCTGCTCAGGTGTTCTCTCATAAAACTTGATAGTTAGAGATGGATCAGATGATGGAGCAAACCTATTCACATGTGACATCAATTTAAATAAACATGGCAGTGGCTAAAATGTTAGACTAATGTTAATAATTACCAAATACAGCTACAAGATTGCCTCACAAGTCACAACAAATACAGGTTTGTCTTGATGGATTTAAGATAACAAATTATAGTATACAGTATGGAAGGATTTGGTTAGCATCAATCAATACAACAGTCTATCAAGCCACCAAAATCCACTTAAAAAAGAACATTTCAAAATAATCAAGAAGGGTATGTTACTCCTATTCAAATCTCCTTTGTACAGCATTCTTTTCAATTATGTCTCTTCACTCTATTGTCAAGTTACAGACAGAATGGACAAAATTAGGGCCCATTTACTTGTGCTTTTATTTCTTGTTTTCATTTTCTGTTTTTTACTTTTTAATTACAAAATTGCCAATTCCATCATACTCGTTTGGTGAAATATTATCCACTTCAGGCTTAAGCCCTCATAATTTTGATTTTGGTCATCTCCCAAAAGACCTCTTACCAATTAAGACATTATGTATATAAATTTATGTCCATCTTCTTGTTTCCAAGTTGTGGGACTTTGATTATATCTTAACAATCCTCACCTCAAACAAAGGACTATTGTTTACTCCCTTACAAGGGAGCTAATCTATGAGTATATCCAGCAGAAGCTAGTCTATGAGCAGACCCTAGTACCCTATCACTCGCAATAGGATTCAGGGGATTCAACACTTGAGGCCTGAAGAATATAAGAGGTCAAGCTACCTAGAAACTATAGGACTGTGAACCATGCATATGTTTTTCTGGAACTGCTGCCAGGGAAAGGATTATCCAAGCTTTCTTAGTTGAAGTGTAAAAATTGTTAAGAATGTCTTGAAGATCCAGAAAGCACAGGAAAAGCAAGTTGAAAGGGTTGAAATTGGGCAACAAAAAGATGTAACATCTTTTTGGAGGATTGTTAGGTTTGAGTGGTCAGTGGTTACACTTACAGTAAAGTGGTTACACTTATAGTAAATCAAAAAATTTATTAGTTTTTCTTATGTTTATTGTGCTCTTATTATTAGGCTTGTTTGAACTTATTTTAAAACAATTGTTAACTTTGTTGACAATGTCATTCTGATATGGTTTTGTTTGTCACAATTTATCGGTTTCCTCTTGTTTCTATATATAAAAAAAATTAAAAAGTTAGACCCAAATCCAAATTTTAAGATGGAATCGTAGTGGTTGTTGTAAGGTCTATAGGGCTGCCCATTATATAACAACTCATAGATGTCTAGTCCAACAAACATTAAGTTCAAGATATCAAATTCTTAGCATGAAAAAAGTGTGTTGGAGATCCTACATTTACTATAGATATGACCAAAATAGCATATATAAGTATGGGGGATACTCAACTCTTCATCTAGCTTTAGGAGTTAAGTTAGGCCTAAACTCAAATTATAAGACAGTTATTTGGCATTTATGGCTTGAGACAAATGCTAGAAAATTCAAGGACAGTTTCCTGCCTTGGCATATTTTATTTTTATCTGTTGTTGGTGGCTTTTTAGCTCTATTGTGGTCAACCAATGGTAACTACAAATTAGTGCCTTTGATGGATTTGCAAAGAAATTTGTGAGCTCTATTAAGATGAAGATTTTATCCTTGAATGTTTATTGTTCTTTACTTTATGAGGTCATCTTACTTATATGAGGATACCTTGGCCTCTACTTTATGATCTTGTCTCTAATAAAAACCACTGTAATTCATTTGAGAAAAAACTTCAACAAGATATGTAATCTCTTACGGGTTTTCAATGAAGCTGTTTCCAGCAGGATCATCAAGAATAAAAGTGAAGGCTGATTCCCCTGTTGCACAGGCTCGCAGTTTCACCAAGAACTGATCAATTGCTTCAGCTGTCTCTGGAGTCACTTTCTAGAAGGTAAAAAGCATAACATTAAATTATTTAAAGAGAAACGCATACATCAAACAATGATATAGAGCAGAAACCAATAGTACTTTGCGTTCTTCTTGAAGGGCCTGAAGTTCATCAGCTGCTCTCATTAGTATCCCTTCCACCTATAATAACACCAGAAATGATATTGTTAAATCATTTGACTACAAATTTTCAACTAATTGTGAATAAAACCTGAATCCTCAAAACATATTCAGTTTCAGCTTCAACACCCACAATTTACATTTCAAATATGTGTACAGGCATCATCCTTGCCCTACTAAATAATATATGCATTTGGAAACTCCCAAAGTTATGATATGATTAAGAGTCAAACCTAAAGCTTCAAAAATCTACCCAAAATTCTTTGATTCATAAAAAGAAAAATCTATAAACTAGAAGAATAGCATTCTTATTTATATTTGAATAATTATTTTGACTATATAAAAAGGACACATTTACACAATTATCACCAGATGATTTAACATTATCACTTAGCAGAGTAACTTTAGTCATCTTCAAATTATCTGATGCACATGACAAAATGAAACAGTTTCAAGAATTGAGATATTTACTGACAAATGCAATGAGAGGTAAGCCCCTCTCCCCAAAATAAAAACAACAGAACAATTAGACCTGTTATACAAATAGGGAAAGAACAAAGTAAATTGAAAAATGCATCAGAAGTACCGTTGACAGACTACCACGCTGAGCCTCTGGAGGAATCTCAAAGTCCAGTTCAGGTATCTGCACAATCATACACACAAGAAGGTGCCCTTTGGATGAATATATTACATTCAAAATTCCAATAATAGATCCACATTGCTCACTCAATTTTTTACAGACATTTAGAATCATCAGAGATGAATCTTATAAATTCCAAAACCTTGCTTCAATTTTTACAACTCAGGTATATTTTTTACAATCATTAACCTTATCATCACAATCAAAATAGGTGGGGGGGGAGAGGTAAATGAGTTTAAATAAATGTAGAGAAAAATTAAACTAGACAAATTTGAGTACCTTAATGGTAGCAGATTCTGACTTTACCACTTGTCGATTGAGCATCTGCATTCATTAAACTTAGATATAAGACAATCTTATAAACATATTATCAGAATAGTTAACAAACAATATACTAGGAAATCAAAATAAAAAACAAGAGAATCCCAAGTAAACATTAATTGACAATACAAGTATTAGATTGTTGTTCAATAAGGCTATTTCCATGAGGTTTCTGTTTCATGCAATAACAACAATGTCTAGAATCTCTAGATTAGGTTGTTAAATGTAGTTACTAGTGTCATGGTATGCATCAATGTTTCACCATGGAAATTAACTTCCATATTTCTTTCCCTATTTTGTATGACAAACATGTATATTATTTGTTTTCCCAAAACCAGTTTGACTATTTCCATTATAGACTTGGTAAAAGAAACGGATGAAAAGAATGCAATAAAGGTGAAATAGGATAGCAACATTCTAAGACCTAAGGTGGTTTGCGTATAGGTGAAATAGGATAGCAACACTTTAGTTGCAGTGTTTTCAATTGCGCATAGTGACCTAAGGTGCTACGACCAACCAAATGTCACAAGCAGTGAGGGAGGAGGTGGTATGCCTGACTGAGTAAAGTAAGACAGTCATTCTAAAAGGGTAAAAAGTACATTATAATGCCATCTTTGAAGTTATCCTAAGATATTTCAATGTCTGTCTTCCCTAAAATTTTGGCTAGGGTCTAGCAATGGATGAAGATGGAAGAACACAGTTGTTTTCTGCCTCAGCATTGAAGTTCTAAGGTTCTCGTGATTAAGTTTTGCCATGCCAATATGTCATCTTAAACAGTTTTAGATCATTACCCCTCTAAGACAAGATTTCTTGTAGCTAAACATGGACACAAATTAAAAAAAAATATGACAAATCAGCAAAAATATGAAAATCAGCCCTTCATACTACTAGGGCATGTCACTGGTGTCAAGCACCTCAGCATGGACATGGCAGATAATGGCATCGGAGAACCTACACTCAAGTCAGCATTGAATATGCCTTGACTATGACACTAAGTTTTAATTCATCTAATGGTTATATAAATAATGGCATCGGAGAACCTACACTCAAGTCAGCATTGAATATGCCTTGACTATGACACTAAGTTTTAATTCATCTAGTGGTTATATAAATAAGTTTGCTTATACTATAAGTAATCATTTAGAAAGGGGCTTGAAATTGGAATTAACACAACCTTCTGTTCGGCTGATGGGATCTCTAGAGTGAAACAACAACCACGCGGTTGAATTTCACCAGCAAACTGTACTTCATTGTTCCTAATAGATAAAAACATAAAAAATAAAAATAGAAATATATTAGCTTTCAAGGAAGATCAAAGGGGCCAAATATGTTCAATCATCAATGCTCACAGTTTTAAAAGTAGGGCATAGACTAAGGACAGATTACCTCTCACCACAGTGAGGACATTCAAAAGCAGATAACAAAATCTGCAGAAAAAAGCAAATGTGGCATTGGATTTTATTTGTAGAAAACTTATGGACAGACATAAGAAACATCAAGATAAAAATAACATTATGTGATGATATTCACCTTCTAATTTGTGGATCAATAATGTTCATTTATTTAATTGAAGTATGTAACAAATAACTTGAGAGAAAAAAAATGAATGAAGCATAAGCATAATGAGAGGAAAAAATAAATATGAGATTTAAAATGCATATATCCCAATACCTATTGATGAAAGGAAAAAAAACACTAACCACTTGCCAATGACAAGAGGAAACGGAGCAATAGATAAGGATGTGTACCTTTCTAAAGTGAGGAATTAAAGTCAATAAAAATCTTGTAATCCCCTACAAATATGACAGAAATTAAAGTCAGAAGATGAGTTTAAGATTAAGAAAATTTGGATGAAAGACAAAAATTAAGCCTAATGGTGCTTTTGACTCATTTGCTACGTATAAATAATTGGACCACATAAAAATATTTGTTTCATTAATGCTTAAAATGGCCATGAATAGAACAACATAAAAGATGAAACACAAATAAAAAAGTCTAACTATTCATTACTCAATAACTGAGGCAACAATGCTTGTTTGGAAATAGATTAGTCCGTGAAGTACAATCGTTTCTTTTTCTTAAAAGTTATTTTAGAATAGTAACAAAAATAAATGATTATTTCTTCAAAGTAAGTTGAACCAAACACGCATAATTTCTAGTTCAATGCACAAGACCACCCAAAGTCAGAAAACGCCAATGAAGAATAACCACCAACCCCTGCCCCACCGCCTAAACTGCTTCTGCATTGATCCTGGTACAATAGACAAAAACGGTTTTGCTTGTGCAGTGCATTGAACCTGACACAATAAACAAAACAAAAAGTTTTGCTTGTGCCAAGTGTTAAACTAATCTACTTTTGCTATACTTCAATATGCACAAAACATATCCATAGTTCCCAACTCAAAGACATTAGGCAAACAATTTACAAAGCTTTAATTAAGTTTTCATCATATGACAACCTATATCCAAAACTTGATAATTAAACTTACTAACACAAACTAAAAACAGCTTATATCGATAAATTTCTCCAAATAAGCTAAAAAAATAAAGTCATTTAAGCTCAGGTAAAAACCCTACTCCTCCAAACACGCCGAATTCAATACACCATGACGTCAAACAGATAATTCAAGCGGTGGAAAGTTCCGAAGCGGTGTTCAATGCCACTAAATGCATTGATGGATGAACAAATTAAACACATCACCGACTCATAAATAACGCGAATTAAACGCATTGACTAAGAAGAAAAAAACAACAGCATTGTTTAAACTCGGTAACGCAGAGAGTAAAATAAGGCGGAGGAAAAACAGGAGTAAAAAAAGCCGCGAGGAAGACGATATGCCGGAAAAAAAGAAGAAACGGAAAGTCACTGAATTAATTGAAAAGTATAGAGAAAAAAAAAAAAAAAAAAAAAAAAAAAAAAAAAAAAAAAAAAAAAAAAAAAAAAAAAGCAAGAGGTGGCGCAAAAGAGGGAGAAAGTACGTTTTCACCGCAACGCATGCAAAGACTTTCGAGGCTGTAGAGAGGAGCGTCACCGTCGTCAGCGGAAACGGCTTCCACCACCGATCCAACGTCCACGATTTGCTCGCTTTTCCCATTCCCCTCCATTTTCTCAGACATCGGATTCCACTCTACCTTTCACTTTATTGCTGAGAGTCTGAATTTTCAAGAACCGCTGGGAAAAAGAGAGAATTCTGAATTTTATTTGCATGTTTTCCTTTGGGGATGACGCTAGAAAGAACTAGGGTACACGTCATCGGGTTCAGATACTTCGGGTCGGACCATAGCGTGGCCCAATATCTCGCTTCAAAAATTTAATTTACGCGGTTGGCGCAAAAGTCAATTTAAAATGGGTTAACCACCAACATTCTAACGTATATATTAAAATTAAATTAAACTACATCTTTAATGCACCAGTTTAATTATTTATTGTGTATAATTAAAATTTAAAATAAATAATGTGTATAAATAAATATTATTTTTAAATATATAAATTATATTTTAGATATATAATAATAAATCATTTATATTGTAGTATAAGATTCTTTTTATTTATTGATAATTTATTTTAAAAATATTAGATTTAATTTATAAATAATTATGATAAATAAAAATTTAATTAAATTTGAACTAAAACAATTCTTGAAAATCCTTTTATCAAAGTAAGACTCTTAAAATAGCTCTCACATGAGAAATCGTTTGTGTTTTATATATAGTAGTTAATTATATTTTTTATAGTTTATTTATTTATTAGTTTATTATGGTCACTCTATTTTTTATTAGTTCAATAAGGAGGTATCACTCATTCCCACTTTGTCGACTCCTATAAGAGTAAAGTAGTGCATTTAGTCACAATTCCATGATTACTTATCTTTAAGAAGATTTATTTTGGTTTTATTTTTAAAATTTTGATTAATTTAGTTTTTCTAAAGAGTCGGGATCCGTTAAAATCGTGCATAAGTTTAAAATTAAACTTACATCAAATATTATACTTTAATAATTTTTTATATAATGAAAATTTTACTAATCAAACTATTGGATTATGCAATATTATACTCAAAATCACTCATATCAAATTTCACATGATTTATAATTTTTTAGATGTGTTATCATATTTTAAACATTATATTATGTGTTAAAATAAAGTAGTATGATGAACTACTAAATAATTTTGAAATCATGTAAAATTTAATATATATATATATATATATAATATTAAACATAATATCACATCATTCAAAAGATTGATTGATTAAATTTGTATTATTTAAAAAGTTATTAAATATATAAAATTTTGTATATATTTTTAGATTTACACTTATTATCAACCAATCTTGATTCATATATATACATACATGATTTTTTGATTAAAAAATTATGTATTAAAAATATAAAATAATTCTATATTGTTATTCAATCACAATGAATTTGTTAATTTTTATAATAATAAAGTGGTTGATAGTGTAAAAAAAATTTACACAAAAAATAATGCATAATCGTTAATTCTTTTTATAATATATGTTAACATACATGTAATAAGAAATTAAAATAAAAATTTGTTACAAAACATTTATTGTTGAAAACACATAAATTAGTATATATATATATATATATATATATATATATATATATTGTTAGAATAGTGAGTTTG